TCCAAGCAGGAAAAAGCCAAAATAAGGAAGACTGGGCATACTATGGTGCCTTTTGAATGCACACTAGTACTCCTTTTCACCACATGGTTAGTGGACTAGAATGTGTTATAGAATGTCTGCACATGTTTCTAAGTCTACATGGGATCACAAGCTATTTGATATAGGTTATACAAATTCAGTTATGCAAAACGTATTTCTACATTGGTCATGTTATAAAAGAAAACTGACCCTCAAAAAAATGAAGAAAAAAAACTAAGTAAAAAGCGTGCTTTGATCTACTTTCTGACTCCATCAGTTCTTTTTCTGAAGGTGGGCAACATTTTCCATAGGTCCTTCAGAAATGCCTTGGATCATTGTATTACTCAGAATAGTGAAGTTATTCACAGCTGATCATTATAAAATATTGCTGTTACTGTGTACAATGTTCTAGTTTTGCCCACTTCACTTTGCATCAGCTCAGGTATCAGTTCATGCATCAGTTTCTAGGTTTTTCTGAAATTATCCTGCTTGTTATTTCTTATAGCAAAATAGTATTCCATCACAATCATATATCACAACTTTTTCAGCCATTCCCTAATTGGGAGGCATCCCCTCAATATCCAATTCTTTGTCACCTCAAAAAGAGCTGCTATAAATATTTATGTATATATAGGTCTTTTTCTACTTTTATCTCTTTGTTGGTCTCAGAATCTTGATATTATCATAAAGAAAGGAGTTGACTTTGTAGCCTGCCACTTTGCTGAAGCTATTGTCTCAGTAAATTTCTTTATTGATTCTTTACATTTTCTATGTAAGTCATCATGTTATCAGAAAATATTTCTGTGTTCTCTTTGCCTGCCTTCGTGGGTTTTTTATGAATTTAATTATCTTGACTTACTGCTTTCATTAGCATTTCTAAAACTATATCATATAATATTGGGGATAGGAGCATCCATATCTTATTCCTATATTTATTGGGAAAGATTCTAATATTATACCCAATGTATATAATACTTGCTTTAGGTTTTAGATATATTGTTTTTGACCACATTAAAAAGACCCCTTGTTATTTGTATTTAGCATAAAAGTATGTTGTACTTTTTCAAAAGCTTATTATCCATCTGTTAAGATAATCATGTATATTCAAAAGTTTCTATGTATAAAATGATTATTTATATTGATATTTTTCCCTAATGTTGAACCATCCTTGCATCCCCAATAAAAATCTAACTTGATATAATGAACGTTCTTTTTTTTCATAAATCGCTATAGTCTTGCCTGGATTGTATTTAAATTTTTTAATTGATATTCATTAATGATATGGGCCCATATTGCTCTTTTGTTGATTTCTCTTTCATTGATTCAGGTGTTAGAACTATACTGGCCACATAAAAGGAGTGTGATAGTATTCTCTTTCTCAAAAACTGAGAATAATTTAAATACAATAGGCATGAATTGGCATTTGAATATTTTATAGAATTACCTGGTACATTCTTCAGTTCTGGGAGTTTTTCACCCTTTCTTTCACATTTACAGCTAATCCAAGATATTTTTCTGAGAATAGATTATGTCACATCTTTCTTTGGTCTTCTGTTACTTCAAGTATTTTATGTTTTTTAGCAATCTCATTTTATATTTTCTCATTTTGTTGTCATGTAATTATGCATAGTAGATACTGATGATCGTTTTTATTTCTTCTCACTTTGTGATTTCACATGGTTAATTTGGACAACTCTAATGGGCTGGCTATGTTGTTCAAATGCAAAGCATCTGCTTGTCAAAAAGACTGTGTTACGGAGAACTCACACAGGGCAAATATTCACATGGTGGTCAGAAGAAGCATACAAAAACACTCTCAGGGTCACTCTACGGAACTTTTGAATTGATTGTGTGATGTGGGAGATACTGACACAGGACCACCCAGCGTGGTGTGCCCATATCAGAGAAGGTGCTGTGCTCTATAAACAAAGCAGAATTGAAGTAGCTCAAAAGAAAAGCTAGATGCATAAATTCAGAGAATCCACCCCAAATGTTGACATGGACTACTTGTGCCCATCCTATGGTCGAGCATTTTGAGCTCATTTTGGTCTGATCGGCGACAGTAGGATACACAGTAACTTGCATAGTGTTGTCATTTTGATCCTCTTTGAGAGCAAAGGACAACGACCAACCATTTTATATTTTTTAAGCAATCTCTCATTTTATGTGTTTTCTCATTTTGTTGGCATATAAGTATGCATAGTAAATACTGATGATCTTTTTTATTTCTTCTGGTTTTGAGATTTCACATGATTAATTTGGTATTTTATTGATTTTATTTTCTGCCCTCTTCCTTTTAATAAGACTAACTCAAGGTTTATCAATTTTGTTAATTTTTTTTAAAGAATCAACTTTTAATTTTATTTATCAGTTTGATGTCTTTTGGGGTTTTCAGCTTATCTATTTCTCCTTTAATAATCAATTTCCTAATTCTTTCTTACTTTTGTTTCTTGGGTTTCTAATTTTACTTACTACATAATAAATTCACTAATCTTCTATATTTTGTTCATGCATTTTTAGGGATGTGATTTATTTCCTCAACAGAAAAAAAAATTCCTTATGTATCACTGTTTATAGTGTGTTTATTTTATTTTTATGTTGTCTGACAGTTTGATTGCAATTCTTTTTTTAATTACCTAATACATAGTAAATTTTGCTCCCACCTTCCATTTTTTATTATACATATGTCTTTGTTTTTAAGAAGTATTTCTTATAAGCAGTAAATTATGGGATTTTATTCTCTTGTCCAATCTCTTACTCTCCCTCTGTTAGATTGTTTGATGCATTCACTTTTAAAGTTATGAGAATTACGCTTGTTTCTTTTAGAATACTACTTTTAATTAGGAATTTTTGTCTCCCTACTTATTTTAAGTAAAAATTGTATTCCTTTCATTAGTTTTACATAATATACTTTAAAATAAATCTGTCCTATACACTCTCTTCCCCTGTTAGCCTCACTCTCATTTTTCACTCCTTCCTATGGTCTCAGAGTTTTATCTGTATCACTGATTTCTTTTTTATTTCTTTTGAGTATTTAGCTAACAAATAATATTTTGTTTTCCCCTCTGAGTTGTGGTTAATTCAAAAACCCTCCTTCTTTACTCCCCTCCAACTTCTTTCATAGCATTTTTGAAACATTTTCACCTTGTTCTCGCCATTAATTTTCTTCCCTTCCTGTCTATTCTGAAATTTTATTCTTTGATCCATTGTCTATATACTTTTTTTATCCCTTCCCTAATCTCTTTGTGTTCATCATAGAATGAAAACTTCTGAAGTTCCCTCTTCTCATCAATTTCTATGTTATTGCCTTGAGATACCTTGGTTCATTTTCCCTCTTTTCTGTTATGTCTCACATTTACAAGTATCAGTTCATGAGCCTAGAAAGAGTATCCTATAGTAGAAAATGCCCTATGCACCAATAGTGTGGTCTAATTATACCCTCTACTCTCCCTAAGATCATTCTCTGTCCCAGCTGCATTGGAATAATCCCTATAGTCCATGTGCTCCCCACCTTCCAGGGAATACTCAAGCCTAGTAACTCCAATTTCTTGTCTCCTGGAGCAAAATGTTGTGGAGGCACATTCCTTCAGAAGAATACATGTTCTCCTGAGGTTGGATTCTCCCCAAACTAGACTCAATGTAAGTTCCCAGTATTTTATTATAGACATAGACTTCTCCCATGAGAGTATTTTCAGTGGAACTCCTGCCACTATGCAGCTGAGACTTCCCCTTTCATTCCCATTCCCTTCCCTCCCTTTTGCCACCTTCACTATTCTCTTGTGGATTCACCCACGAACATGTTGTGGGATATAGTCCCCTATGTTCTACACCTGCTCCTCCACCATCCACCTCTTAGTTCTTTAACTTTTACTTTCATGTTTATTCCCTTGTGTACTTTAAAACAAATAAATAAAAACTTGTCTCTTGCCTTCTTTTCCCATTCAGTTCTGGAAAACTTCTTACCATAGAAAACATCCCACCACCATGTCCAGCAGCCTTTTATCACCCTGGAACATCCCTCCACCTTGTGGCCCCTTCTTCTTGAAAAAAAAATTGATTACTTCTTGGAACTTCCACTGTAAGGAAATACAAAGGCCACCATGTAAACTCCTTCATGTCCCAGTAGATACCTCCCAACCTGGCTTTTCTATGGAGAAGGTGGAGGAGGAAATGGCAAACCCCTCCAGTATCTTTGCCAAGAAAACCCCAAGTGGTCACATGAGGAGCCAGAAATGACTGCAAAACAACAAGGGCTAAGGAAACGGGCAGCCTGTCAGACGTGACTGATGGATCTTGGATTAGGAGGTGTCTGTGGTGAAGAAATGCCAGATGTTCATTTCCCACCACTTAGGAAAACCTAAGCTTAGTCAGAGTAAAGATAAAGAGTATATGAGATGCTGAGAGCCTTAAATGCCAGGCCAAGGAGCTCCATTTCCCTTATTGGGCTGCAGGGCATTGCCTTTCCCCATGCCTCTCCCCACTGAGTTTGATTCTGTGTCAACACCATCACGTTTTATAATTCCCCTTAAACTCACCAGAGAAGAGAAAGATTAAACATACATTGAGTATGACCCTCTATTGGAAGTTATAGGGAATACAATATTATGGATGCTAAAAAGCCATCTTATATTTTTGCAACTCTGGTCCTAAAACTATTGTTCCAAGATGAGAAAACAGATATATGCTTCCAGAGGTAGGACAGCTAGGTGACACCACAGTGCACAGTGCCAGGCCTAGAGTCAGGAAGACTCATCTCCCTGACCCTGGTCTCTTCACCTTGTTTGCTGCAGTTCCTCATCTGTAAAATGAGCTGGAGAAGGAAATGGCAAACTACTCCAATATCTTTGCCTAAAAAATCTGAAACGGGGTCACAAAGAGTCTCATACAACTGCAAAATGACAGAGCAACACCATTCAGACTCCAGGTCCAGTGCTCTCCTCCCCCTTGCTATCAGATGTGTCCTCCCAACCAGATGTTCCATATAGGACAAAGGAATTTATTTTTGATTGTTTCTTCTCCCCTGGCCATGGATGACATGCTCACTTTTCAGGGATGGTCCCGCTCTGCCCCACAATGCATGGCAACAGTAGCATATACGATGGGCTCCAGTAGTGGCTTAGAAGGGAATACTATCTGTGCCTCACTGAAGATCCCTTTATTCAACTGAATGTAGGTAATTTCCTGGGAATCTTCACCCTCTGGGACCTGAAAGGGAATTAAAATGTTGAGTAGTCAGTAAGGGAGAAAACGGGAGTTGAGGGGGTGGGGGGAAGAGAGTTTAGAAAAGGGAGATGAAACAGAGAAAGACAGTTTTTGTGAAATGAAAAAAACAAAAATGAGAGTTTCTGTGATGAGATTGGGATCAAGGATGAGACAGGATTCTCCAGGAACAGGATTAACTCACAGTCATCCCTCTCTGTCTCCATTCATTAGTCTGTGTATCTGATGGAGAAGAGAAGCTTTAGTTGGTTTGTGAGCTCATGGGACAAGCCCTTCCCCAGGACATGCCCAGGATAGCTGCCTCCCTCCTGCCTGATTCACTTACAAGCAGACTCCTCTTGGGGGGATCCAGGGTTGTAGGAAGAGCAATGTTGAGAGAGACACAGGCAATCTGGCAATCTGTAGAGAGAACAGGATGGGGGCGGGAGGCAGGGAGAAAGTCGTGCTGAGATTCCAACGTATTTATTGTGGATGATGCCAGGTCGCATCAGAGTACTAGACCAGCGAGATTGGGGAAAATCAGCCGAGGCTCCTTACCTTCTTGGAATCTGTCCATGTGAAGTCACTGGTGAGGAGTCGGGGGAGGGACAGAGACAGGGAGCTAGGATTAGTGTAAATCAAGTCAAGTCCATAGATTCACAGATTTGGAAAATGAGGCCCCTGGTCTCACCCAAATACTCATTCCCTCCAATCTCAGGAGACCACCATCTCCAAACTCACCAGTCTGGGTGTGTTGATGGACTAGGAAAGCCACAAGGAGAAGGAAGAGAATGGAGATGCAGCTCAGTATGATCAGAAGATTTCTGGACGCTGAGATGTGGGATAGGAGTGAAAATCAATCCCCAAGCATTTCTTCCCTTTCTTCTCTGCCCATCATGACCAGTTTCTCCTGCTCATCAACACCTTCCCATCCTTCAGGACTTAGTGCTGGTCTTGGACCAGTGAGGTCTGGGAACATTGCCTGTCTTCCCCAAACAATGAATGGCTGCTTCTTACCCTGCATCTTACCTGTGTGCTGAGAGGGTATTCCCTGCTCCCCTGAAAAACAGAATGTTTTCTACTGAAAAGGGAACAGGACAAATGCTCATATCCCAGGATCTACCCAATGCCCCAATTGCCCTAGGAAAGACACCAGAGAGGCTTTGCCTCTTCTCCCATGTCTATGAATAAGAGTCGTGGGGAGGTACTGAGGCTAGACTCCTAATCTTGGGGTAAGCAAATAGTCATGGGTATCCTCCAGAGAATCCTTCCTTCCTCTGCTCCTCACCTTGCACTTTAAGTTCCAAGGGATCACTGGGTGGTGCCAAGACATGGCTGTCTGGTCCAAGGTAATAGCAGCAACTGTAATTCCCTGTATTGGTGACGTTCACATGGCTCAAGTGGAATTCAGCCCCACCTTGGGTGGACTCTCTGATGCTCACAAAACTTTCCTCTCCTTCCTTGTAGAGAGCAAATTTCACACCTTGAATTTGCCCCCAACACAGGAAGGTCACATTCCCTCCTGAAACCACCAGCTGGCTGGGTTTCACTGAGAGGAAGGGCTTAGGTAGGATATCTGAAAGTCAAAGCACAGATATTAGAGGGTGAAGGTCCCCTCTGAGGGACAGAGGAGCTGGCCACCCTGGGTAAGATTTCCAGGACCCTTTACTAATCACTCTTAAGCCTTCTTTGTCGTGCCCTTCTCAAGGGACCCCCCCCAAGGGACCCTCCCCAAGAAAGGAGATATGCAAATTCTCCTATTCCTAGGGCCTCCCTGGCAGCTTGGTCCTGTCTCCATCCATTACCCCAGGTACCTGGGTCATGCAGTGTGAGCTGAGGCAGCCCATCCCCATATCCCCTCTGTCCCTCTCAGGGCCCCAGACTCTCTGCTCCACAATGCTCACACTAGCCCCTCATGGTAACCCCTCCCATACTTTCTTGTCTCACATGTAGCCCATAGTTCCAGGCCTTCTGCTCTGTGATTCCCAGTCCTGGAACCCTTCTCACCTGTTACCCAGAGCTCCAGAGTGTCACTAGGTTCTGAAACCCTGTAAAAACCTGTAGTCTCACGGTAGATGCAACTATAATTCCCAGTATCCTGTGGCCTCAGAGAAAAGAGGCAGAAATCAACCTTCATCCCTTCTCCAGGCTTGATTCGTAAGGGCTCCATGTTCTGTCCCTTTTGCAGAATGAATGTCATGGCCTTGAGGTATGAGTGTGGTGGCATGCTGCATTGGAGGGTCACATCTCCTCCTGGGGCCACCACAGGAGCTGGAAGGGCTTGGAGGTGGGGCTTAGAGAGAGATCCTAGGAGAGAAAGATCACTGGGCTAGGAGTCAGGATCTGGGTTCAAGTCCCAGCTTTGTCCAGAATGAACTGAGTGACCTTGTACAAGTCCTTTACCCTTTCCGTGCCTCAGATTCCTCACCTATTAAATGACAAGATTGGAACAGATGGCCACTCAGGTCCCTTCTACTTCTAACAATGTTAGAAGGATCTTCTTAAAAGGTGCACCCCAACCCTCTCTTACCTGAATCTGAGGACTCAGAGGAGGAACTCGTTGGAGTATTCCCTCTCACCCAACCTGGATCATGGAGAAGCTCCAGACAGTCTCAGCTGAGCCTGCATGCAATGCTGAGGGAGTCAGGGCTCCTGGGGTCATGTCCCTAGCTTTGCTGCCACCTGTTTCTTGTTCTGTCACGTGATGAGCATGGACTCCATCACTTCAAAGATTCCTCCCAGCTCAATTCCCCTGGGATTTTATTTCTGACCCTAAACTCTGTCCTCATCCTCAATCCCATCTACCAGAGCCTAGCAAATTTCCCAGCTTTGAGCAGCCTGTATGGACTGCTAAAATCTACTAGATCTGATGCCAGACCCAGTCATTCCAAGGAAAATCTGTAACTGAGGCAAAGTGATCAGTACTTAGCCCAAGGGCACCAGAATTGGAGAACACATTAAAATCACTAGCACTTTTTCAGCCACTAGACACAATGACACTTAGCACAAAGTTAAACAATAAAAAAGACAAAATATGAAGCTAGCAGATGGTCCCTAAGCCTACTTCATAGCCCCATAGGGAAATGAAATCCTGCCTGACCTGCTTGGCTCTCCCCTCCTGCTTCCCTGAGCCAGGATGGCACCTCCCAAGTGGTAGACAAGAGTGACTATCTTCTTCTGAGTCTCCATAGGCCAGTGCCTGGAGCTCACTACCTGCTTTAAAAGTTGATTTAGGGGCATCTAGGTGGCACAGTGGATAGAGAACTGGCCCTGAAGTCAGGAGGACCTCAGTTCAATACAGTCTCAGACATTTGACACTTACTAACTGTGTGACCCTCGGCAAGTCACTTAACCCAAATTGTCTCACCCAAAAAATAAAAGTTGATTTGAGGGCATAATTGTTGCCTCCTGCCTCATGTGCCAAGATGGCAAATTATGACTCTATTCTCAGCCCAACAGTAGCCTCGGGGCTTCACTGTGCTAGGATGCCCTCTTCAAGGCAACCTTCCCTAATAATGGAAGCTTTCTATCCTACCATCATCCTGCATACATAACTCACAGATGCTAGGCAGAATGAAGCTCCCTTTTCTATTGGCCTCAGGCTCAGAGGGAGCTTTGAGGTCACCATGATTAGCATATGGAACTTCCCCTCTTGGAGGGAAGACTGCATCAGAACCAGACCTGAACCACCACAGGACTGGGCTGGACTTAGTGGAGGGGATTAGAGGAGCCTAAAAGAAAAGACGGTAGCAGAGAGATGCCCCAAGTCCCCATTGCTCCCTGACCAGGATGTGAGAAGATGAATTCTCACCCCATTCAGTAATGCAGTGCTCTCCAACCCAAATGCTTCTTGACTGACTTTTTGGTAGGTTTGGTTGGTTATCTTTTCAATAAAAAAATGTTTTGAGCACATGCCCCTAATAGATGCAAATTGATTCACTTATAAATGGTATTCATGTACATGAGCGCACCATGGCAACACTAGTGGTGGGCCTTGGGGATTGCTGTGATGGCAATAGAAATAGCTTTGGGAGTTCTCAGTTCAGAGACAGAAAGGGAATTGGACAACTGGTCAGAAAGACATCATATCAGACCCCTGTGCTAGCACTGGGCACAGAACCTGATGCTGTTTGGCAACTCCGTTGCCAATATCTAGTCCCAGGTCATACTTCCAGGAGAGAGAGGACCACTGGCACTAGAACTTGAAGTGGCAAGGGAGCAAAGACTCTTCCTGAGTAAAGACCAGAGCACAGATCAGGAAAAGAATCACCACACCTTTTGTTAAAAAAAAAAAACACCATAGACAATGAAGTAATATCAATACTAGATAGATAGATGGATGGATGGATAGATAGATAGATAGATAGATAGATAGATAAATAGATAGATAGATAGATGATACATAGATATAGACATATATGCACTAAATGGCAGAGCATCCAAATTCATAAAGGAAAGGCAAATGAATTATAGGAGGAAATAGTAAAAATATGTTATGGGGGGAGCCTCAACTTTCCCCTGTGAGAAACAGACAAATCTAGCCATAAAATAAATCATAAAGAAGTTACAGATAAATAGTTGTGATACACCTCTGGAGAACAATTAAATGAGAATAGAAAGGAGTACACATTTTTCTCAGCTGTGCATATTCACAAAAATGGATGATGTATTAAGGCATAAAAACCTCATGAACAAATGCAGACAAGCAAAAATATTAAATGCATCACTTTCAGATAACAGTGCAATAAAAAATACATTCAAAAAAGGGCCTTGGAACCATACATGGAAAATTAATTAGAAACTAGATAAACTAATCCTAATGAATGAGTGGGCCAAAGGACAATCATAGAAATAATCAATAATTTCGTTAAAGATAGACACAATAATGAGACAACATACCAACATTTGTGGGATGAAACCAAAGCATCACCTTACACAAAATTTTCATCTCCAAATATTCACATCAATAAAAGACAGGAGGAATAGATCAATGAGTTCAGTATAAGAGTAAAAGAACACTAGAACAACAATAGTGTTAGTACCTCCAATTAAACATCAAAATTGAAATCCTGAAAACCAAAGCAGAGATTAGTAAAACTGAATTTTTTTTTAAAAAATTAACTAATAAATAAAACCAGAAGCTGGTTTATTTTTTAAAAAATTAGATAAACCATTAGTTAATTTAGTTTTTAAAAAGAAAGACAACCAAATGACCAGTATCAAAAATGAAAAAAGTAATTTCATCACCAATGAAGAGGAAATTAAAGTAATTGTTAACATTAATTTGTCCTATTATATGTCCATAGAACTGACAACATAAGTGAAATGGATGAGATATTTATAAAATATAAATTGACCAAATTAACAAAAGAGGAAATAGAATACTGAAATAACCATATCTTAGAAAAAAATTGAGCAAGCCATCAATGAGCTCCCTAAGAAAAAATCTCCAGTACCAGATGAAATCATAAGTGAATTCTATCAAACATTTAAGAATAATTCATTCTAATACAATATAAGGTATTTGAAAAATAGGTAAAGAAAGAGCCCTACTAAATTTTTTCTATGATACAAATATAGTTTTGCTGCCTAAACCAGGGAGAGCAAAAACAGAGAAAGAAAACTATAAACAAATTTCCCTAATGAATATGGATGCAAAAATTTAAATAGAATACTAGCAAGGAGATTACAGCTATGTATCAGAAAGAATATACACTATGACCAAGCAGTATTTATATGAGGAACGAAAGGCTGGTTTAATGTTATGAAAAATATAATTGCACATATAGATTCCCTTTGACCTATAATTGGCCATACCGATAACAAAATTTACTGTATCAATAATAAAAGCAACAAAAATCATACGATTATATCAATAGATGAAGAAAAAGCCTTTGATGAAATACAACTATTCCTATGAAAAATGTTAGAAAGCAGAGAGATACATGGAGCCTTTCTTAAAATAAACATTATCCATCCAGTAAATCACAGAAAAATATGGCTGCCCAGAGAAGTTCATCAATATTGTACATCGGGTTCATAATGGCATACTAGCACACGTTCTGGATAATTCACAAGGTTCTCGTGGCTTCCCAGTCATCAATGCAATAAAGCAGGGCTGTGTGCTTGCTCCCATTCTTTTTAACATGATGCTTTCAGTGATGTTGTCAGATGCCTTCAACAAGGACAAAAGTGGCATCAAGATCAACTACCACATTGACGGTAAACTATTTCACTTGAAAAGGCTACAAGGCAAGACTAAAGTAGAGACAAAATTGGTGTGTGACTTTTTGTTTCCAAATGACTGTGCATTCAATGCAGCCTCTGAGGCTGAGGTGCAACAGATTATGGATCAATCCTCCCCTACTTGTGCTAATTTTGGCTAGACAATTCACAACAAGAAAATAAAGGCTCTCCACCAGCCAGCAGTGCACCATTCACACACTGAGCCATCACTTTCAGCAACTGGAGAAATTCTGAATGCTGTGAACAAGTCACTTACCTTGGCAGTATACATTTCAGGAATGCACACCCAGATGATGAGGTTGACACACTCATCACCAGAGCTAGACCAGTGTTTGGCAGGCTTCAAAGGAAAGTGTGGGAGAGGAGAAGTATTAGTCTGATTATCAAGGTGAAGGTCTACAGAGCCACTGTGTTGACATCACTGTTGTACACCAGTGAGACCTGGACAGATACCAGCATCTTGCCAGGAAACTGAATCATTTCTATTTGAATTGTTTTAGGAAGATCCTGAAGATCACCTGGCAAGATGAGGTGCCAGACATTGAGTTCCTTTCTCAAGATGTACTGGCAAGCATTCAGACTCTACTGCAGAGAGCAGGACTCTGATGGGCTGGTCACATTGTTCTAATATCAAATGTATGTTTACCTAAAAGACTATTTTATGGAGAACTCATCCAAAGCAAGCACTCACATAGAGGTCAGAAGAAGTAATAAAAGCACATTCACAAGGTCTTTCTGAAGAGCTTTGGAATCAATTGTGAGCCATGGAAGACACTGGCACAGGACTGACCACCCAGCATGGCATGCCCACATCAAAGAAGGCATTGTTCTCTATGAGCAAAGCAGAATTGCAATAGCTCCAAAGAAATGTGAGATGTTCAAATTTAGAGACATCTCCACTTCAAATGTTTACATGAATGATTAATTCCAAATCAATGGTAGAGCTTTCTGAGCTCCTATTTGTCTACTCATCGTCAGTTGGACACATTGTATCTTGACCCCAACACAGTGATATCATTTCCATCTTCTTCAAACATAAGGACAACAACCAACCAACCAAT